CGAAGTCTGGTTCGAAGAAGTCCGAAGGAGGAAAAGGTGAAGTTAGATGGTGTGATAAGTGCAAGAAGAAACACTCTAGAAAATGTGGCGATGAAGTGACATGTTTCAAGTGTGGGAAGCATGGGCATTACGCCAATGAGTGTACATTCAAAAAAAGGGTGTGTTATGGATGTAATGAAGAAGGGCACTACAAGCAAGACTGCCCAAAGAGGGAAGGAGCTACAAAGTCAAATGCACTGCCAAAGGCAAGAGCATTTCAGATGATCCTTGATGAAGCAGGCAATGATGCAAGGAATTAAGAGGAAGAATCTATAGAGTATTTGTATAAATAGGATCATGTGGTGTAGCCTATTAGAGGCATAGTCTAGGGTGAACTTGAACACCTATGTAATTGTTTCAAGGAATAATATAAAACCTTCGTTTTGTTATCCGGTGTGTTAAGTTGTTATGTGATTTTCTTGTATGATGACTTGGAAAACTGCGAGACAATACTTGGGACGAGTATGAGTAGGTGTGAATGGTAGTAGAGGCTTATACTACCGGAAGCACAAGACTCACACTTGGATCAGGGAAAGTCACAAGGTTACCAAGGAGCTAGTAATTGATTCCGTTTTATTCAAGTATGTCGTTACCATCGTTTCGGTAATGACTAAGAAGATGATTGTTATTCCGACCACAGTGGTCATATCAATTGAGTCCGAATAGGATGAGTATGTTACGTGGTTCATAGAACCAAGTTCGATGTAGCATCTGACTTAAGCCAGAAGATTGAAATCAAAGCGATCAGTAGAGGTATCGCGATAATTGCTTGTAGCTAGAAATGCTACCTTTTAAGATGTGATTAGAACATGAGGGAAAGGATATTCCATTCCAAAATTTGACTCTAAGAGACCTGAGTCTAAGCATTGCAACATACGATGATAGGTCATTAGAATATGACACATTGTTCCATTGTAGTAATAAAAGAACTTATCTTAAGTTCGTATCCATTGAGGATCGAGATTGTGACTTGAATGTCATAATTTGGAATCTAACGTGAGATAGGAAGCAAGTGCAAGATCGAGCACCGCCTGCAGTCAAGGAGTCCAAGAGTTAGATACTCATTCGAAGAAACAAGAAAGTTATGATTATTACCTAGGATGAAGAGATAACGTATGGAGTCATTATACTGCCCGGTTTCGTTGATGATTTCGGGACGTAATCATCATAAGGGGGAGATAATTGTAACGCCCGCAGATCCGGGCTAGTCAATTTAGAGACAATGAGCGTCAAAAATGAGTTTTTGATGGAAGATTACTTAGAATAAATAATCTTAACCAAGTTGTAGAGTATGTCTCAAGGGTTCCGTACATATAAAGAACGCCGAAATCCGAGTTATAACGAAGAAGTTATGGCCCGTCGAAGTTTTACGGCAAAACCGACACGGCACCGGGAGACGTAAATAGTGAACTTATGATAGAGGACTTTTTAGCCTTAGTAATCGAAACAAAAGTTGTAGTGTTCGTTAAACCGAGAACATTCATAAAAGAACGTCCAAATCTGACTTCGTATGAGGAAGTTATGAATTTTCTAAGATTTGGCTTAACAGTGCACGACCCGAAACTCGAATTTTAGTTCGAGCGGGTTTTTGGCTTACGCGACCTAAATGAGAGTTGAATATCTCATTAATAGGAACTCAACGGTAAAAAGACAGACGAAAACGGAGTCCGTATGAAAGAGTTACGAATTCTTCGCGGCCATTTAACAGTCTAATCTCATCCTACTGTTAAATTTAAGATCGATCGAGATTTAACCGACGGAGTCTAAACGAAAGTTGTATATCTTGTTTTTACCTACGCGTGGATATAAATAACGTCGAAAACGGAGCTCGTATGCGAAAGTTACGGGGTTTAGAAGTCGGCAAGGTGCTACTGCAAAAGGGGTGACGTGGCACAATGTAGGCCACCCACGTTCTGCCACCAGAATGGTGACACTTAGCCTAGACTCGACGAGTAGAAGTACCAACTCGTCGAGTAAAGCTGTTTCACAGCCTATATATAGAGGTGTCGGGTTCAACACTTCTCTCACACCTTCAACCTTCACTTTCTCTCTCTAAACTCTCTCTCTCTAACTCCCTAAACTCCCCCAAAAGCCTAGGAAACTTCCCTAACACTTGAAGAAAGCCTTGGAGAGCCCAAAGTCTACGAGATAAAGAGTTTTTCGGTTTGAAACTCTGCCCGCGTGGAGCCCGGTTTTCAAGCAAACTTCCCGGTTTCGTCAAAGAAGATTATTTTTAGAAGCGAGGTGCTGTCTGAATCACTCCTTATCAGGTGAGTGCATAGTTACTTTCATCTTACACATAGATATGAAGTATTTTATATAAATTACGTGTTATGTGTGCATATCTACTTGAGATCCGTGCTAAATGAAAGATTTAAACTTCTTTGTTTTTAAGATCTAAGCTGTATATGTATTTTATACTTTGAGATCTATGTTGGATGAAAGATCTAACTTCTTTCTTTACAGATCTGAACCTTTTTCTTCAGATCTAGGCTGTAGATGTACTTTTTTTAATAGATTTGAACCTTTTTTTTCCAGATCTAGGCTGTAGACGTACTTTGTTTACAGATCTGAACCTTTTTCTTCAGATCTAGGCTGTGGATGTATTTTGTTTACAGATCTGAACCTTTTTCTTCAGATATAGGCTGTAGATGTACTTTGTTTATAGATTTGAACCTTTTTCTTCAGATCTAGGCTGTAGACGTACTTTGTTTAAAGATCTGAACCTTTTTTTTTCCAGATCTAGGCTGTAGACGTACTTTGTTTACAGATCTGAACCTTTTTCTTCAGATCTAGGTTGTGGATGTACTTTGTGTTACAGATCTGAACCTTTTTCTTCAGATCTAGGGGGTAGATGTATTTTGTTTACAGATCTGAACCTTTTTCTTCAGATCTAGGCTGTAGATGTACTTTGTTTACAGATCTGAACCTTTTTCTTCAGATCTAGGCTGTAGATGTACTTTGTTTACAGATCTGAACCTTTTTCTTCAGATCTAGGCGGTAGATGTATTTTGTTTTCAGATCTGAACCTTTTCTTCAAATCTAAAGCTATAGAGGTATTTTATATCTACAAAAAAAATATTGGGTAGAACATGGGTAGATAAATGATGAGGTATGAAAGATGATATAGGTGAATATTGGTAGCTGCATCATAACTTGTAGATGATTTTGAAACGCAATGTACTCTAAACATCCTAGCAGATGCGCCTATAGGATAATATCGGCAGCTGCGCCTAATAGAGAACGTCATAATCACTGCAGCTGCGCCTAGCTGATGATATTGGCAGCCGCGTCTAAAAGATAACATTGGCAGCCGCGCCTAATAGATGATACTGGCAGTTGCGCCTAGTTGAGAACAACGTAATCCTGGCAGCTGCGCCTAAAGGATAATAATGGTAGTTGTGCCTAATAGATGACATTAGCAGTAATGGACTTCGCGCGTATTCCCTAGGATAAACCTTAGGAATGAATGAATGAAGGATAACTAATTTTTAGGGTAAACATTAAGAATAAAGATAATGGAGATGGGTAATCGGGTTGATTGTTTGATGATTAAACATAATAATTATATTATTGTGGGTTGAAAACCCTATGTACTCACCAGGTTTTCCAACCTGACCCACTCAGTTTATTTGTATCACAGGTGTCGATATAAAGCTGCACTACACTGAGAGATTTAAAAGAGATGTAGATCACTAGTGTAATTAAATGTAAGTTCTGTTTATGCTTATGTTTCTGTATTGACGATGACATCCCAAGGTTTTGAAAATGAATAAAAATACATTTCTTCGGAAATGCTTTGATAACGTATTTATCATGTTTTTCTGGGAACAAATTCCGCAACACTTTTATTAAAAGAGATACTCTGATTTTTTATAAAGCATAAACATAATCGGTTTTTTCTGGCCGTGAAAATGGGGATGTCACATACATATCCCGACATCTATTGTTGATCAGTTTTTGGAGGTAGGTCTTGAACTCCTTGAAATCCATGTTACGTACATCTAGCCCCGTAACACAGGTAGTTTATGAGGATGGAAATAAACAAAGGGATTAGGAGAAAAAACACCTTTGTGGTAGACATCAATGTTAAGGGAGTCACCATACATGCTTGCTGCACAATCGACGAACTCTCATTCACCTTATGTAAAAACAATTTCACCTTCACCTTCTGTGAAAAAACAATTTCACATTCACCTTCTGTAGATTTCACCTTGTGTAAGAACCCTAGATATCGATTTCACCCTTGACTGAGAACCCTAGATCGACTTCTGTTCGTAAGTTTGGTGAAACGATTTCCCTTCTGGCGTTCATATTTCCACGTAATTTGTTTTAATTAGCCATGTCATATTTTCCCTTTGATCACTGGTAAAATAAGAACTTTAACCCACAATGCTGGTCACACTTTTAAAACATTAATTTTATTGGTAACTTTATTTGGTTTTTTAATAAAAAAAATTTAATTTATTGGTTTTTCTTGAACAACAAAAATATAAATGGGGTAATGTGAACGATTTTGAAACTTCATTGATGTTTTAAGTCATTTTCCCTATATGATAATTGATAATGATCAGTAGAAGTAAGATATGTATACCTTCAAAAAGTATCATTCATAATTTGATAGTTTTATACTTTCTGTTAATTAATTAAGTACAGTATATTTTAAGGGCGGTGTAGAATCAACCGGACAGTTTTTTTTTTAGAACGGCCGTATGCAAAAGTGAGTTCAAAAGACTTTCCTTCTTTAAATGTATCTATTGGAAACCAAAAAGACATTATATCTTAGAACCTTGCAAGTTGAATCGTATAGGAAAATACAATACATCAATATAATAGCAAGTTTCAAAAAATGATACATATTCCCAACTATTACAATGCATGCTATATAATCAGACAAGCCTGAAAGCTCGTCATAAACTCATAGTGTTGTTGCATATACTTCTGTTTGAACTTGGAGAGTAATGGTGAGTGGGGGAGGCCAAGCTCCAGCAATTGGCATCGACTTGGGCACGACGTACTCTTGTGTTGCTGTATGGAAGCACGATCGAATCCAGATCATAACCAATGACCAAGGCAATCGAACGACACCATCTTGTGTTGCATTCAATGATACCGAACGTCTAGTTGGTGATGGTGCCAAGAATCAAATTGCAAGGAACCCTGCAAACACCGTATTCAGTTAGTTTACACTTTCCAATGTTTAATCGTTAATGTTTTTAACATATTTTTATCACATGACTAATTGGTTGTAGAATTTTAGATGCAAAGAGGTTGATCGGCAGGAGGTTCAGTGAAGTCATGGTGCAGGATGACATAAGGTTGTGGCCATTTAAGGTCATACAAGGGATTATCGACATGCCAAAAATTGTGGTCACTCACAAGGGTCATGAGCAACAATTTTATACGGAAGAAATTTCATCAATGGTTGTTAGCAAGATGAAAGAAGTTGCAGAGGCGTATATAGGTGACACCGTAAAAAATGCTGTCATAACAGTCCCAGCTTATTTCAACGATTCTCAGCGTCAAGCAACCAAGGATGCTGCTGCTATTGCTGGACTAAATGTGCTGCGTATAATCAATGAGCCAACAACAGCTGCAATTGCTTATGCAGTAGACAACAATTTGTCTTCGACTGGAAACAAGAATGTTCTTATATTTGATCTAGGTGGTGGCACTTTTGATGTCTCTCTTCTCACCATTGATGGTGTGGGTAAATTTGAGGTGAAGGCTGTTGCTGGTGACACTCATTTGGGTGGTGAGGATTTTGATAACAGAATGGTGAATTATTGCGTTGAAGATTTTAAAAGTAAATGGAACAAGGATTTGACTGGAAATAAAAGAGCATTAGGAAGGTTGAAAGTTTCTTGTGAGAAAGCAAAGAGAATTCTTTCATATGCTACAGAAGCACCAATCGAACTCGAGTATTTGGTTGAGGGTATTGATTTGTCGATGAAAATTACTCGTGCCAAATTTGACGAGCTTAATATGGACTTCTTTACAGAGTGTATTAAACAAGTGGAGAAATGTTTAGCAGATGCAAATATGAACAAAGCAGATGTAGATGAGGTGATTCTTGTCGGTGGTTCAACTAGGATACAGAAGGTCCAAAGTATGTTACAGGAGTTCTTTGATGGGAAGGAGCCATGCAAGAACATCAACCCTGATGAAGCTGTGGCTTATGGGGCTGCAGTTATGGCAGCAAACTTAAGTGGTGAAACTTCGAAGATTGTAAAACAGCTGATGCTAATGGATGTAACTCCCTTGTCTCTGGGTACAGAGGTAAATGGGGAAATAATGTGTGTGTTGATCCCAAGGAATACTCCTATACCAATCAAGAAGTCAAAGATATTTTCAACATGCGAAGACTACCAATATTCTATAGAAACCATGGTGTGCCAAGGGGAACGAACTAAATCTACTGACAACTATTTGTTGGGATCGTTCACAATATCTGGAATACCACCTGCTCCTAAGGGTGTCGGAAAAGTTGAGGATTGCTTTGAAATAGATGATAATGGTATCCTCACAGTTACATCCAAGATAGTGGCCACTGGTAAGACCAAAAGCCTTACTGTTACCAATCTTAGTGGAAGATTGTCAAAGCAAGATATTGAGAAAATGGTGAAAGATGCTGAGAAGTTTTAGCTTGAGGATCAAGAGTACAAGAGAAAAGCAGAAGCATACAATGCATTGGAGGATTGCATATATGCCCTAAAGAATAAGATCAAAAGAAATGATATCACACCAAAGGCCTTGAAGAACATCCAGTATGCAATTGATGATATAATGAAATGGCTCTCTAATGTCAAAAGTACTGCTGTTGATGAGATTGAGTCCAAGAAGGAGTATCTGGAGTTCATATCCGGGCTTGCATTTTTTCATTAACATGATGTGATTTTTGGCATTCAAGACTTTGATTTTCTGTATTTTTTGATAAGAAATCTCTGAAGTATTGCCGCATATGTTTTCCCACTTTTTCTATTTTAGTTCAAAACCAAAGGACTTAAATTCCATCCTAACTTTCATGCAAAGGTTAAAAAACGGTCAAACAAGACTTTTGATTAAACTGGTTGCAGAGCTTTTGGAGAATTGATAAGAAATCTCTGATGTTATTCTTCCTACTTTTATCATGTCAGAAGAACTTCAAAAAGTCATACATGGCCTGCAACTTAAGTCTTAATGTCCAGACTACATTAAGTTGATGCTACGTAAAATTGATGGTCAAGCCCTTGCACGGCATATGGACCCAAACCGTCACAAGTACAAATGTACAGACAGACTACAGTTACGTTTTTAATGCTATCTGCCCATAGAAAAGTCATAAAAGTAGTTGATGGGTATGACAATTTATACCCAAGTAATAAATGCACCCTTGTGATACAGTTCCTCGATCAAATGCTTATTCAGTGGAAATATCCCTGCTAAAAGTGCATGCACTTTCTCCTAAGGCAATAATGGCGACAAATCACCATTATTACTAAAAAAGGCCGTTAATAGTATTGTCTCCTGTAATAGAGTAAATTACACGATTCAGTCTCTGTGTAATTATCAAATTGTACGTTTAATCTTTATTTTTAAAAATTAACTATGACCGTTCTATATATTATTAAAAGTTGCACGATTTGTCCACTATAATGCTTTTTGGTTTCTTTTTCATTTATTTTTAAGATTTTTAATTATTTATAGTTATTAGAAAAAATGTTTTATTTCAACTTGTGGGTCCACCCCACCTCCTTTTACCATTTCCATCTTCTGCCTCTAAACCCCTAAGCACAACCATGTCGACATTGTCCTGCATCGGAAACAATAGGGCTGTCAAAACTGTACCACAGAAAACCAACCAACATGTTATCAACTGAACCAAGAAAGTTGATAGCCAATATTTTTGGTAGTCAACATGTTTGGCTGGTAGTACCGTACCAATTGAGCAATTTTAGTACGGTAATGGTACAAAAATTTAAATACCGTGGTAATACTGTACCAACCAATTCATATATATATATATATATATATATATATATATATATATATATATATATATATATATATATATATATAGAGAGAGAGAGAGAGATATATAGGTTCAAGTGTTTTAACTAAGTATTGTGTTATTGTATGTATAAATGTGGGTCAATCAAAATTAAATAATAAATTAAATAATTAAATAAATAAATAAGGGTAATTTAGTAATTTGTTTAGTAAATTTCAAAAATAATCCCTATAATCATGGTATTGACTAAATAAATAAGTGTGTATTCCTCAATCTCCCACCTGATAAAGCCCTAGCATCCTAGAGGGTTATCGCCTCCTACCCACGGCGTCACGTACTACTCACGACCTAAAACCCTAATCGTCATCGGTCCACCACACTCTAGCCACCCCAACTGGCCGGTCTCCGCCGCTCAAAACAGTCCCTTTCATCCTTCATTTCTATTTGACAAAGAGGAAGTAGTTTAGGAAGAAGCGTAGACGAAAGCACCAAGCAATGCACAACGGATTTCGAATTTCAAGAGGTTTTTTTTTATACTGTGTGTAGTTCCGATTTCCGAATTATTCCTTTTGCTATTGTATTTCGTCCGTTCTGCTACTCGGCCAGGCCGTCTCTTTTATATTGGCTCTTCTGAACTTCACTTCATCTCTAACCGCCAATCTTGGTAAGATAATTCTATCTCGATTTAGATGAATTTGTTTCCTTACTCGCATAGTCAATTTTGTGAAATTCGGAATGAAAGATAAACTGGACCAAAAGGGGGGGGGAGGTATTATTGAATCTGGTTTTATATAAGTCAACGTATATTACAATGAGAATCTGACTGAATCTCATTGCTAATCCTAGAGCATTTGCCAAGTTTGATCTAGTTAGAATATTAAATAATGGCACAACAAGCACTTATGAAATTGCAATAATTTTTAAAATTGATTGAGTGATTGACCTCCTTTCTTTGTTTTGCAATAGGTGCTAATTCGCCTGTAACTCTAGGACTTTTATGTTATCTGGCTTTAACCTTGATCTATTGAAGCATCTTGCTATATAAGCGTCATGAACTCATTGTAGTGTCACCTTCCTTTACTCTTAGTGTGAAACTTGAGTTCATTCTTAAGTTAATTCTTGGTTATATCTTTGCATTATAAATACATTTTTCTGCTATGCATATAGACATTATATATACATTTTTCTGCTATGCAGGAGTTTTGTCATATAATAGCATATAGGCATTTATGTCACATTTCTTCCATTTATACCCTCATATAATAGCATATAGACATTATATATACATTTTATGTCAACTTGAAGTATTAGCAATGCTTGGTGTATTTGGAATGTTTTTTAGTTTAATTGAGATGTATCCTTTTCATCCACATAGTTTCTTGTGGAATCACGAATCCATTTCTCTTTAATGGGTTTTGTGTGACTTTATTTTGGTTTGCTTATTTATGTTTGAATTTTATCTTATATTGTAGGTTTATAATGATCAAGTGTTGAATACCATTATTTTTGTAGGTACGAAACGAGAGATATCAAAGCAAAACATGGTACATATGAAACTTACAACATTTTACTGGAATGGAATCTTGAATTCTGATTCTTTGAGAATAGAATTTTGAAGATGAACATTGTATGTGATGAAGATGAACAATGACCACCAATCTTCCAAAAAGAATGGATTATTCTACCAGAATAATATACAATATAATGAAAAAATATATATGTAGTAGTATATTCTTGTAGAATGATTCATATATTGTGTTTTTTGTGTTATTAATAAATGTAACATTCGCATAGAATAGTATATAATTTTTTTTTCTTTTCTAAGAATGTAATGAAATTTTTTTTAACTTGTATCCAAAATTTTGTTATTCTTCAAGAGGTTCATTAAATCAAAATATATATTATGTCAGAATGTGTAATTATTGTATAGTTCAATCATATTTGTTATTTTTCAATATATTGATAAACATATTCCGTCAGAATTTTCGAATTAGGAGAATTATCATCCATGCAATTAGATTTTTAAAATTAATAGAATCTATTTTCCTTAAAATATGTAATTTTCATTTTTTAAATTTATGTTAATTGACTAAAATACCCTTAGAATGAAATTAGTTGGTATTTTTTTAATTATATTTAATTTAATAATATGTATTATTCACTTTCCAAAATTAAGTAAAATGATTGGCCCACAATTATGCATACAATAACACAATACTTAGTTTGAATAGAATAACCTAAGCCTATATATATATATATATATATATATATATATATATATATATATATATATATATATATATATATATATATATATATATATATAAACGAAATCGTATATTTCGATTGTTAATTGTGTTTAGTATTTACAGTTTTAAGAACATTATATAAGTTATTTGGTCGTATTAGTCAATAGTTATTACCACGTTTAACCACAAAATTAAAACGTTACTTCAATAGAATTTTTTTGTAAATTAAAAGAACTGTGTAACTAATTTCTTTATTAAACACCAAAATTACCCGATTTATTTGCTTATTTTAAAATATTACAATAGAAATTTAAAAGAAGTCGGTATATACCATTTAGGGGTGTGCACCAAACCGCAGAAACCGCATAAACCGCCCGCACTGCACCACGCCGCACCACATAATGCGGTTTAGAACTTTTGCGGTGCGGTTTGAGGTTTTTTATATCGTTAAACCGCACTATGCGGTACGGTTTGCGGTTTTCAATTACAAAGTCGCAGTTTAAACCACACCGCATATATATATATATATATATTATATATATATATATATATATATATAATATATATATATATATATATATATATATATATATATATACAAGAAAGTGTATTGTTTCATCACTAGGATTAATAAAATAGTAATAATTGTCTGATTACAAGTTCGTAACAATTAAAAAGTTGGTATGCATAAAAATGGATATGTTAATTAGCCTAAAATTAGTGAATATAGTCAGACAATAGGAATTAATTAACAAACGTATTACAGAAAACAACTTGTTTTTGAGTTTTTTGCAAAACATTTCTAATTTCTAGTTTTATATCTCAAAAGATCAAAAGGTTTTTTAGATTTTTCAAAAGTTATAAAATGTAGCAACTCATCAAACCGCAAAACCGCACAAACCGCATCGCATAACGCGGTTTTAAACTTCTGCGATGCGGTTTGCGGTTTCAAAAAATCTCAAAACCGCATATGCGGTGCGGTTTTGACTTTAAACCACACCAAACCGCACCGCGCACATACCATTACCAATTTGTACCAACTAAATTTGTTGGTAGCTAAATATATTGGTACCAAGTATATTTGGTACGGTATCGGTAGCAAATTTTTGTACCAATTATAGTTGGTACGGTGCACGGTTTAAGAAAAAACGAATTGGTACCATACCAATTCCACCCCTAGGAAACAATCTCCATCTCTATCGGAAACCGTCCGTCTCTCATTACCAATAACAAACGACCTGGACCAGCCATACCATCAAACATCTCTCACATAACCATTACCCTCACGACTCGCTCCTCCCTCTTCGCCGCCAACTGTCGGCACTCAAAGCTTGAAGCTTAAAATCAAAACTGAAATCGCTCATAAGTGAGTCAGATTCAAGTAAATCATTATCGTTCAAGAACCT